TTCTGGTACATTTTACGATACATCAGAATAAATTCAAAATGGATAAAAAACTTAAATATATGTCATAATACCATAACTCCTATTGGAAACGTAGGCAGTAAAAGTTCAGATGTGCCAGAAAACAATATTTTTGCCAATATATCTCCTAAGGCAAGAGAAATAAGGGAAAAAATAAATAAATGGGCCTACATAAAATTACAAAGCTTCTGCATGGCTAAAAAAAAACTGCCATCAAAATAAAAAGGGAATCCATTGTATCACAGAACATATTTGCCAATGATACATCAGATAAGGGTTTAATTTCCAAAATACATAAAGAACTGAAACAACTCAAAACCAGGAAGACAAACAATCCAATTTAAAACTGGCAAAGGATCTGAATAGACATTTCTCCATGGAGGACATACAGAGGGCCCATAGACATATAAAATGATGCTCAACATCACTAGCCATTAGAGAGATGCAGATTAAAGTCACAGTGAGACATGAGCTCAAACCTGTCAGAATGGTTATCATCAATAAATCAACAATCAACAGTGCTGGCGAGGATGTACAGAGAAGGGAACCCTAGTGCACTGTTGGTGGGAATGCAGACTGGTGCAACCACTGTGGAAAATAGTGTGGAATTTCCTCAAAAAATTAAAACTGGAACTGCCTTTTGACCCAGCAATTCTATTGCTGGGAACATACCCTAAGAATCCTGAAACATCAATTCAAAAGAACTTATGCACCCCCATGTTCATCGCAGCACTATAAACAATAGTCAATGTTGGAAACAGCCTAAGTGCCCATCAGTAAATAAATGCATTAAAAACTGCGGTATATTACACAATGGTATAGTATGCAACAGAAAGAGAGAAGGAGGACTTCTGGCCAAGAGGGAGGTGTAGGTAGATATATTTTGCCTTCTCGCACAACCAAAAGAAGGATAGCAACAAATTAAAAACAAAAATAACTAGAACTGCCAGAAAATCCAACTGTATCAAAGTCCGACAATCAAGAAGTTAAAGAAATATTCATTCAGACTGCTAGGAGGGGTGGAAATGGGCAGCTTGGACAGAGAGGATGTGTCACAAGTCAGTGGCAGGGAGAGCTGGTGGGTGAGGAGGCGGTTGGCAGACTAGGTGGTCACATATTCACATGTGGATAAACTAGGGGGAACAACTGGGAAGCAAGACAGGCTACACAATCCAGGGTTCCAGCACAGGGAAATAAAGCCTCAAAATCTCAGGATGTAAAAACTTGTGGGAATTGCAGTGGCAGGAGAAACTCCCAGCCTCACAGCAGAGTTTGTTGGAGAGACCCACAGGATCCTAGAACATACACAAAAGCACCCACCCCAGAAATCAGCACTAGAAGGGACCAATTTCTTTGTGGGACACCAGGGAAATGACTGAAAGCCAGATCAGCTGAGCACACAACATTATTCCCTCTAGGACCCCTCTCCCACATACAGTGCCACAACACAGGTATGTGGTTTGCCCTGCCCTGGTAAATACCAAAGACTCCACCCATTAGAATGTAACAGATGTGCTGATATACAGAAATATGGTCCAAATGAAAGAACAGTTCAAAACTCCAAAAACAGAACTAAGTGATGAAGAGATAGGCAACCTATCAGATACAGAGTTCAAAACACTGGTAATCAGAATGCTAACAGAAATGGTTGAGTATGGTTACAAAATAGAGGAAGAAGTGAAGACTGTGCAAAGTGAAATAAAGCAACATGTACAGGGAACTAACAGTTACCAGAAGAAAACTGGAATTCAAATCAATGATTCAGAGCAGAAGGAAGAAAGAAACATTCAACTGAAACAGAATGAAGAAACAAGAATTCAAAAATATGAGGAGAAGCTTAGGAACCTCCAAGACAACTTTAAACATTCCAAAATCTGAATCATAGGAGTGCCAGAAGGAGAAGAGGAAAAGCAAGAAATTGAAAACTTATTTGAAAAAATTATAAAGAAGAATTTCCCAAATCTGTCAAAGGAAATAGACTTCGGGGAAGTCCAGGAAGCTCAGAGATTCCCAAAGAAGTTGGACACAAGGAAGCACACACCAAGGCACATCATAATTACATTACCCAAGTATCTTAAAAGCATCAAGGGAAAATGAGACAGTTTCCTACCAAGGAGCGCCCATAAGACTATCAGCTGATTTCTCAAAAGAAACCTTAAAGGTAAGAAGGGGCTGGAAAGAAGTATATAAAGTCATGAAAGGCAAGGACCTACATCCAAGATGACTCTATCCAGCAAAGCTATCATTTAGAATTGAAGGGCAGACAAAGTGCTCCCCAAATAAGGTCAAGTTAAAGGGGTTCATCATCATCAAGCCCTTATTGAAATGTTAAAGGGACTTATCTAAGAAAAAGAAGATGATCAAAACTATGAACAGTAAAATGACAACAAACTCACAATTATCAACAACTGAACCTAAATAAAACAAAAACAATAACAAACTAAGCAAACAACTAGAACAGGAACAGAACCAGAGAAATGGAGATCACATGGAGGCCTGTCCGCGGGGAGGAGGGGTGGGGAGAATGTGAGAAAAGGTAGACGGAATAAGAAACATAAATAGTAGGTAAAAAATGGACAGGGGGAGGTTAAGAATAGTGTAGGAAATGGAGAAGCCAAAGAACTTATATGTATGACCCATGGACATGAACTAAGGCAGAGGGAATGCTGGTGGGAGAGGGGCTGCAGGGTGGAGAGGAATTAAGGGGAAAAAATTGGGATAACTATAACAGCATAATCAATAAAATATATTATAAAAAGGAAGGAATTCCTACCCTTTTTGACAGCAGGGATGAAACTGGAGACTATTGTGCTGAGTGAAATAAGCCAGTCAGTGAAAGACAAATATCACATGATCTCACTTATAAAAGTAATCTAATCAACACAGTAATTAATGAGCAAAACAGAACCAGAGACATGGGAACATGGAAGATACTGACAGTTGCTAGAGAAAAGAGGGGAACTGGGGAATGGTGGAAAGAAGGGGAAGGGATTAGTCAAAGAACTTGTATGAATGACCCATGACATGGACAATTGTGTAGAGATTGAACGTAGGTGTTAGGGGGTAGGCTGGGAAGTGGAGGAATAATGGAGAAAAAATGGACAACTGTAATAGAATAAACAATACTTTAAAAAAAAAGAAGGAAATGAGGACCCAGATCTCATCAGTTCTTGTTGGCCATGATAAGGACTTTTATTCAGATTAATACAGGAGAGTATAGGAAGCTCCAGAGCAGGGCTCTAACACAACATGACTTGGATTTTAAAATAATCACTTTAGCTACTGTGAGGAAGAAAAACTGTAGGGGATCAAGGGCATACTCAGGAGACCTTAACAAGTTGTTGTAGTAATCCACCAAGAAATGGTGGCAGTGTGGTCCACAATGGCAGCAGTGAAGTGGTGAGAAATGTTATGGACAGATTCTGAATGGAGAGTGACAGTCTTGTTGATGCACTGAATATCACATATGGAATATGAGAGAAGGATGGGTACAAATGACTCCATGATTTTTGGCCTGGGAGACTACTACAATTTCCTGAGAAGAGGAAGACTATTAAAGGAAAGGCTTGAGGTGAAAGGTCAGAAGTTCAGCTTTAGGCTTATGAGATGTCTAGGTAAACAGGCAGCTAGAAACCCAAGTTCCAAGTTTAGAGAACAGATATAGACTAGAGAGAAATTTGGGAATAAACTGGATGACAGTGTAAGAATTTATGAGTGGCCAAACATTTCTGAACAAGTTTCAAAAAAGATTCTGAACCTCTCAGAAGACTTTTCCAAGTAAACAAAGGGCTATAATCATGCCTTTAAACTTTTAACATTTTTTATCAATGACATGAAATAAGACATAGCATGCAGAACATAAAAATTACATGTACAGAAAATGAAGTTGGGCAGTAGAAAGCAAACTTGGAAAGATCCAGAAAGCCAGAACAATGGTCCAAAACCAGGAAAATTTTAAACAGGAATCAAAAGAAAGCACACAATGCAGATGTTAAAGATGGATTAAATGCAGAACTCCAGAAAGGGGGCGACCTGCTTTAGCAGATTTCATAGAAAAAAGCCCTCGAAAAGCAGCAAATGTTGTCTAAACTGCATGCCTCATTTCTGCACTGAGCAGATCAAGTCAGAAGAAATCTAACAACAAAACCATCCAGGTCACCCTTACAGCAGGGAGGGGATCATGCCCAAAGGACATTTCTGGAAGTGCTTTCTCAAACTGGAACATTTTGGAAGACAGAGACCAGGATAACCATGGGTATCACACTATCTTAAGAACAGCTAGATTGAGGGTTTTGGCCTAAAGAAAAAAATATTATGTTGTTTTCAAAGCTTGAAAGGACTGAACCTGTAAGTCTAAGTTAACTTGACCTCCACTGTTAGGGAGGGCAGAGGGAGAATCACCTGGTAATGTTACAGATCTAGTGGTTCACTAGAATGATGAGCTGACTCTCATCAGACATGGCAAATGTCTGTCTGTCTCACAAAGGGCCAAGTCTCTGCCAGATGTATGTAGGTAATGGACTTGTACTCATCGTTGAGGGTTGGTAGGGACAGCCTCTGCCCTAGCTGAGTCTGCTACCCGCTTCATATGAGCTCTGGAGTAGGCTGTTGTTGTCTGTCTCCTCTTTGAGAGCCCTCTCAATCCTGGGAATGCCTCCTGCTCCTCTGACTCCAACCATCCCTGCCACCCATGGCTCCTCAAGAACAGGGGTCATACTTGTCAGCTGCAGCCCTGCCACTCCCCCCTGACCGAGGGCATGGAAAGTACCCAAGAAATGTGTATAGGAATACGTTGGTATGCCCTATGTTGTAGGGCAGGAAGGTGGACTGGGTAAGCCCCTAGGCTATGACTTGGTTAAGTGATTTATATAAATTAAAGAAGCTATTACTGCCAAGCAATATCACTTTAGCATACTATATACCTGGCTCCATCAATTCTGAGGCAGGATCAAAAGGGTTGATATAAGGGAAAAGCTTCTTGCCTGCCTCTGGAAGCAGAGCTGTCCTTCCAGGAACATAGAACATCAGGGGCACATGAGTAGCGACATCAAAATTGCTGTATTTGGCCCATTCTCCATGTTCACCTAGAGACCACCCTGGTTCATAAAAAGCACAGAATAACAGAAAATAAAATAATCACATTACGACTTACTCATTTTAGATATCATTTTAATTCCTGTTATTATTAAAAATCAGAGGAAGCAAAAACTCTTCACCAACAAGAAATTTTCCTCTACAATCAGCACAAATGGGTGATTTCACCTAAATACTACTTTATTTGAAGTTAAACACTTATCTTGAATGAGGAAACATTTAAAAGGAAAAAATATTAAATTCCTAAACTAAAATATCTTCTTTTAGGAAACAACTAGCAATATATGTTTAGGTAGGGCTCCAAGGGACCACTGCTCTCCCCAACCCACAGGCCCACCTCCCCTGCTTAGATGGGCTTGTTCTTGACAGGGACCCCAATAGCTGTAGTGTCACTACTGCCTTATCCTGTGCCTACCTATCTTGACTCAAGTTTCACAACTCTGGTTTCACTTTTTTTTGGAGGGTGTACCACCAAGAAATAAGCTGTAAAACTGTGGCACAATCACTTAAATTAAAAAAAAAAAAGATAAGGGCAGCTTGTCCAACTTTTAAGACATACCATAGACCTAAAAAATATAACTTTTGATTCCAAATCCTTAACCTTGATTAAAAACTACACTTAACCCTGATTAAAAACATGCCTTGAAAAAGATAATTTGAAATCCCCCAGTTGGAAATTTCCAATCTTTTTAAGTTTGAGTACTCTTTTTGATATGAAAGACTATAAAAGACAAAAATCATACATTAAGTATTTTGTGTTACAAAACAAGAAATCCACAAAAAGCTGTTATGTGTGGATTTGAGAAGGTTTTAGAGCTCAGATGTAGGAAATCCAAGGAGAGCTCTTTGAGAAGAGCCATTTGTAATCAACAGCAGCTGCCAAGCAAAGAGAGCTTACAAGTGGGCCTTATTCTCATGGGGTGCAGTAGGCTGTGTTAGCACTATAAGAAGAAACTGGGCACTGAGAGAGAGGTCAGAAGTGGATAGCAGATCATTAGGGAAAGAGTGAAAATTATGACACTTCCATATATAATGAAACAGGCCTTTACAAGGCATAAGGTATGTCTGTGAGAAATGACACAGAAAACTGTATATGACATTGTTAAGTCATAAAAAACAAACTAGGGAATAAAACAGTACACATAGCACAATCAACCCTACCTTGTTCATTACTAGTGTATTATATACATATGCACACATAACCCACAGCCACAGGCATATGCATAAAGGCTGGCAGATGCCCAATGATCCGTCAGTGCCAGTTAGCTCTAGGCAGGGGCAGGTGGAATAAAAGGTCAGGGTGCCCTGGCCCTATATGTTACACTCTATTATCCTTTTTTTGTTTTTATGATGAGTACATGTTATGTTCTAATATTGTTGTGTTTTATACTATATGATATTAAACACTTGTCTTCCTGGTACTAGGTATGATAATGATATGACACTGTTCAGAAAAATGAACAACCTTAAATTTGCTTCAAAACAATTTGGGAGTGGGGGTGTAGAGGAGGATGAAATAAACAAGACTTCCATGAGTGGATATATGGGGCCAGGAAGATCAAGACTAGGAAGTTGTTGTTTATCTTCTTCTCTTATGCATGTTTAAATTTTTTCAAATTAAAAATATTTTTTTAAAAAAGATATTTCCCTTTTTGAAAAAAGTTAGAAACTGCCTTAGAAGAGATGACAGTTGTGAACCCAGGCTCTTGGCAGAAAAGACAGCAGGGCTAGGATGGAAGGGTGGAGGCAGATCTGAAGGCCTTATTGAGTTCAATCATGAATGTCCTGGATCCTCCTAAGACCAACAAAAAGTCTTCCAACCATCTAAGTTAGAAATGGTGATTACAACTTCCGGTCAAGGTAGTAGCATAGGCAGACATGGCTTGCCTCTTCGCACAGCCACATCAAAATTACAACTAAGCCCTGGCTGCTGTGGTTCAGTGGATTGAGAGCTAGCCTGTGAACCAAAGGGTCATTGGTTCAATTCCCAGTCAGGGCACATGCCTGGGATGCGGGTCAGGTCCCCAGTTGGAGGTACACGAGATGCAAGGAAACCTTTAGGTTTCTCTCCCTCTCTTTCACCCTCCCTTCCCCTCTCTCTAAAAATAAATAAATAAAATATTTTTTAAAAATTACAACTAAAATATAGAACAACCATTACTCAGAACCATCAGAAATCAAGTTTAATTGAAGTCTGACAATAGCAGAATTAAAGAAACCACATCCATCCAGACTAGAATGAGGCACACAGACATGGGACAGGTTGTTCCCACATCCATGTGTGGTGGATAAATATTAGGGAGGGATATCTTAGAAACAAGAAGTCCCAGCCCCACACCAAGCCCCGCGGCCCGAGGTTCCACTGCTGGGAAGGTAAGTCCCCAAAACTTCTAGGTCCCCCCAAAAAGTGGGGCCTAAAGAAACTTTTGGAGTCCCAAGCACTTCCCCTTAAAGACCTCACATACAGACTTAGACCCACTCCCTCTGAGCTCCAGCACTGAGGTAGCAGCTTGAAAGGCACCAGAGGCATAAAAGAAGGCACTGAAGTGACTGGCATCAAGGCAGGAGTTGGGGGACAGCTTTCTCCCAGACAGAAAAGTAGGCAAAGGTTATTGTCCCTTTTCTGAGCCCTCCTCCAACAGAGCCACAGAGCTGGCAAGTAGTTGCTTTATGTGAGATGCCATCAACCTAGTTAACACTGTTCGCCCCACCCTAGAGATACCCTGAGACTCCATCCCGCCCAATTTATGGTCCCACCCACAATGTTAACTATGACATTTCCATATGAATGTCCAGACTTAGCTCATGCTTCACAGCTTCCTAATTTCTATCAAGCAATCAACAGTAAGCCCGCAGGCCCATACCCCTTGCTAAGTGGCCCTAGGCATGGCACTAGCACCAGTCAGCCTAGATTCACAGGTTGGCTTTCCTTTGGAATCTCCAAGCCCAGCAGAAGAAGCAGGCATCTCAGATGGCTTTATAGTTCAGGCAGGGTGTCCCCAGGCAGAACACAGGTGGGGGTGGACCTTGGCCTGTACCACCCAGGAAACCCCAGAGCCTGTGCACCCAGTGACAGCTACAGACCACATTGGAGTACTACCACCCTGCCCCTGCATAGCTGATCCTCCATGGTGGGCAGAGGTTGGTGGTCAGTGGTCACAGCCAGTCCTTGCAGCTAACTGGAATGAGTAAATCCCTCCCATTGATCTGCCAACAGCAATCAAGGCTCAACTACAAGAGGAGGGTGTATTCAGCCCACATGAAAGGCATAACTCAAGTACCCAGCTTTGGTGATAGAGTAGGCTGTGCCACTGGACCCTATAGGACATCTACTACATTAGGCCATACTACCAAGACAGGGAGTCATAGCAGCTCTACCTAATACATAGAAACAAATACATGGGGGCTACTGAAATGAGGAGATAAAGAAACATGGCCCAAATGAAAGAACAAATCAACATGCCAGGAAAAGAACTGCACAAAATGGAGATAAGAAATCTATTACATGCACAGTTCAAAACAATAGTTATAAGGTTGCTCAAGGAACTAAGTGAGGACCTCAGCAGCATAAAAAAGACCCAGTCAGAAATGAAGAATACACTAATTGAAATAACATTTTCCAGGGAAACAACAGTACAGTGGATAAAGCTGAGAATCAAGTCAATGATTTGGAACATAAGGAAGCAAAACACAACCAATCAGAACAACAAGAAGAAAAAGGAATCCAAAAAACAATGATAGTATAAGCCACCTCTGGGATAACTTCAAGAAGTACAACATTTGCATCATAGGGGTGCCAGAAGGAGAAGAGAAAGAGCAAGAAATTGGAAATCTACTTGAAAAAATAATGAAAGAAAACTTCCCTACTTTGGTGAAAGAAATACACATGCAAGTCAAGGAAGCACAGAGAATCTGAAACAAGATGGATGCAAAGAGGCCCATTCCAACACAAATCATAATTAAAATGCCAAAGGTTAAAGATAAAGAAAGAATATTTAAAGAAGCAAGGAAAAAGAAGTTAGTTACCTACAAGGGAGTTATCATAAGACTGCCAGCTGATTTCTCCAAAGAAACTTCACAGGCTAGAAGGGATTGGCAAGAAATATTCAGAGTCACGCAAAGCAGGGACCTATATCCAAGACTGTTCTACCCAGCAAAGATATCATTTAGAACCAAAGGACAGATAAAGAGCTACCCAAACAAGAAAAAACCATAGGAGTTCATCATTACCAAACCATTATTATATGAAATGTTAAAGGAACTTCATTAGGAAAAAGATCAAAACTATGAATAATAAAATGGCAATAAATACATATCTATCAACAATTGAATTGAAAAAAAAACAAATAATTGAATCTAAGCAAATAAGAACAGAAACAGAATCATGGATATGGAGAGCATTTTGATGGTTGCCAAATGGGAGGGGTGTATGGGGGAATGGGTGAAGTGGTGAGGGGATTCAGAAGGTATGAATAGGTAGTTACAGAATAGCCATGGGGATATAAAGTACAGTACAGGAAATGGAGTAGCCAACGAACTTATATATACAACCCATGGACATGAACAATGGTGTAGGGATAGCCTGAGGGAGTGGGGTGTGTTATATGAAGGTAGACAAAAGTGGAAAAGTGCTCCACTGACCCACAGAGACATGGAGAGAGGTCCTAGGACTAAGAAGGAGATCATAAATTCCTCCTAAGACCCCACACTCAGGGCACTACTGATTCCCAACACAGAACATGCCTATGTTTAAGGCAATCTAGAAAAGCACATTTTACAAAAAAAGTTCAGAGACTTTGAGTGACTCACCAGGACATTTCAGAACACTTACCATGATCAGAGGTAAATGCAACAATAGTGGTGTTGGCCAGATGAAAATCATCCAAAGCACTCAAAAGGTGGCCAACCTGTGTATCCAAGTAGGAAACAGAGGCAAAGTAGCTCTGGCGTATTTTCCTCTATGAATTAAAAATAATAATAATGAGAGTGACTGTGATTTAAGTTCCTGTAGCATACAGTGTTCACCTCAACATCCTGCCCAAACACCACTCCTCTGCTGATGCCCTTGATTTTCTCAGTCACAACATGATGTTCATTTCTCTACCATCTACATCCCATCTCCCCATAGTCAAAGCAAAATCTGTAGGTCTATAAGTAAGATTCTTTCTTAAGAGGATCAGCTTTCATTTAGGGTACAGCTGATGGATATGCTACTTACTATTTCTTTCTGTCTCCTTTACATATTTTTATAGGTCCCAGAAGAAGACCATGTACACAGAAACTTATCCATCAGTCCCTCTGAACTCGGTTGAAGTCATGTCAAAGATACCATAAAGCTGTATCCAATTCCTGTTGCTGCTATAACAAAGGATGACAGAGTGTGGGGCTTAAAACAACAGAAATGTGTCCTCTCCTAGTTGTGGAGGCCAGAAGTCTGAAATCAGGGTGTCCACAGAGCCATTCTCTCTCTGATAGTTCAAGAGGAGGGTCTTGCCTCTCCTAGCTTCTGGTGGTGGCAGCAGCGCTTGGCGTAACTTGCATTGCAGCTGTAGTGCTCCAATCTCTGCCTCTGTCTTCACATGCAATCCTTCCCTTCTCTCCTCGTCTCATAAAGACACCAGCCAGATTGAATCAGGGCCCACCCTACTTCAGTAGAACCTCATCTTAATTTGTTATATCTATAACAACCCTAGTTTCAAATAAGGTCATATTCTGAGCTACTGGGGGTCAGAACTTCAACATGTCTTCTTGAGGGACACAATTCAACTTATAACAACATCAGTGTATGGCCCTTTCCTCTGACCACTGTCTAATCCAGCAGAAGACAGCAACTGCTTATCCTCATGGACTCCAGCTGTCATGTGAGGCTCATTCCTAACAAATTTGCAGCTGGCAGGAGAGCAATGGAGGGACAAGAGAGTAGCACACCCTCCATGGTCTCTAAACCCAAGCAAGAGGGACTTTGGGAGCAGCCAGGCCAAGCACTGATGTAAAACAGCCATGGCCCCTTCTGGAATGTCTCCCTCCCAGCCTTGTTCACAAATATTAAAGAAAAAGATGAACCCCCTCCCCAAACAAGTTTGAGAAAAAAGGGGCCACTAACATATCAGAGCAGCCACAGCTTCCACCATCTTATTAGCTGGACCAGCTGGCTTCTTTTCTAACTGCCAGCTGAACACAAACATGAGACTCACCCATTCTCTCCATGAGGTAAAGATGACAGATATTCATCTAACAACCTTCTAGGAGGATTATGCAGAACTCCAGCCTACTTCACCGTTCTACTAGATAAAGGCCTTCAGTCTGTAACTTGGGGAACTTTAATCCTCCTGGGGATCAAAGACACCTGTGAGGACGGCTGTGTCCTATTCAAGAATATGCCCTCCTTCCTATACTGAGCCCTGGAGATAGGGAAAGGAGCAGATGTGGTCCTTACTCTTAACAAGTCACCTGTCCAATGAAGATACCAGCTTGCAGACAAGAAAATGCACATTACTGGTGGGGCCCAGGTATGACATGGGAGAATGAGCCCTCAAGTCAGCTTTGGGAAATCAAAAAAGACTTCACAGAGGAGTAAGCATTTGAAAGGGGTGCTGGCAGTCAGACAATTTAGTGTAAGAGTTGCTTCAAAGGATAAGATGGGACAGAGTCACCAGAGCAGAGTGTGTTTGGGGTCAGTGAGCTGGCTGCTGTGGCTGGAGAATGAAACAAGAGGGACAACCAGGTCAGGGAGGATGCTGAAAAGGCAGGTCAGGGCCAGATGATCCAGACCTGGTGGGTCCATCCAAGGAGTAGAAGTCCCACGCTAGAGACAAAGGAAGGCACTGAAGCTGTTCAGTGTGAAGAGGCAATGTGGTCAGGGCTACAGATCAGCATGAGTCTTCAGGCAATAGCCCAGAGCAGATTCCAGGAGCTCAAGGGAAAATGACACTATATTAGTGTTCGGCACACAAGAAGGTCTCAATAGATATCTGTTAAACAAATAACACCCAGACCCACTGTAGTGGTCAAGGAAGACATGGTGAAGAAGCAAGAGTTGAATATAGAGTTGAGAAGAATTAGGGAAACCAAATAGGAGTGGGGAAGGGGAGGGGGCAAGTGTGGTAAGGAGATAAGGACTCCAAGGGTGACTCCAGGTTTCTTATTCAGCTGGTGGCATGATTCAATGGCACAGGGTGGCACAAAAGGAGGGAGAGGAGAGAGAAAAGCAAGAGCAAGAGTGTGGCCATGTGAGGCCTAAGGCCCTGAGGTCGCCCTGGGCAGTGACTCTTGTAGACAACAGGACAGACATGTCTGAAAATGAGAAGCAAAACCAGCGCTGGAGGATTAGTTCAGCAGGGTTCACTTGAGCCTGGCTGGGGACGAGGGGCAGAAAGGAGACAGTGGAGTCCCTGGGGATGATCTTGGGGTACAGCACTCCTGAGTGGCAGATGCAGGAAAAGTGGTTTGCCATGGGAACTGAAGTACTCCAGGATGTGGACATTTCCAGAAAGGGTGGCAATGGCCAACAGTGAGGAAGCAGCAGAAACTCAGGGAAGGTCACATCCACAAGACAGATTTTATTTGCCAACAAAGTTAGTGCTGACCCAGGTGAGAGAATTCTTTAGTGGGTTGCAGAGGCAGAAGACTCCACAGAGGTGTATCAAGAATGGACAGACAGTGAGGGCACAGACACAGCCAGAACAGACCACATTTCATTCATTATTCCTTGAAGGGCAGGTGAAAAAAATAGGAAGGGAGAACTAACAGGCAAGGGCAAGGGAGGCAGGACTTTTGAAGATGGGATGGATACAAGCAGCTATATAAGCTGATGAGGAGAGGAGACATTGCCTGTAGATGTGTGAATAAAGGGGAAAGGCACTGGGGAGAAGTCAAGTCCCTGCTGCTTTTCTTACAAGACTAGGGAGAAGGCCACTAGTCCAGCACACATGTACACATGATTCTGGCTACTGGTGAAGGAGACTATTAATAGCACTATTTTCCACACATCTGCTGGGTACCATCTAATCCTCTCAAATACCCGTTAAGGTGAGCATTACCATTCCCATATTACACAGGAGAACTCAGAGGCTCAAAGAAGTTCATTAACTTGCCTAGAGACACAAAGCTGGCAAGGGGCACAGCCTGGATGTGTACTGACATCTGTCTTGTGCACTCCCCTCTCTCAGACTGTCCACCAGCCTCCATTTCTGAAACAGGAAGTGCAGTAATCACTGAGAGACCAGGCAGAGGAGAATGGGGGGCAGAGAGGCCTAAGGGGTTGAAGGGAGCTGAGACACACAGGACTGCTGGAATTGGAAGCTGAGAATGGGTGTCTCTGCCTCATGGCTACATGGATTCCCTTAAGATTCAGGCTTGATAGCAGAGGTGGTGGCTGAACTATCCCATGATTAGGGTACTGCAGGTAGGGCAAAGATAAATAGACAAGAGCTGAGGTGCTGACAAAAAAATAAGTGATCTTCCATGGGGCATGAGCTATTTAGGGAATGAGTGAAGCCCAAAAGGACCTAGTCACTGTGGGAGAATAGGAATCCACATACTGACAATCCAAGAGAACTGTGTGGCAAATGAGGGCATGGGGTAAGGGAGACAGTGGTCAGGTGGTGACAAAAGAGGAGCAGGCCTGGTAGATGACAAACTCCCAGGTGTGGCCCTAAAGTATCTGGCTCACACAAAGCTCAGTCAAAAGGCTGGGGGTAAAGAGGGTATAGGACTGAAAGACTCAGGAGTGGAATGAGATGGGGTTTGGGCAGAGACCTCCAAAACTACAAGAAGATGGTGAGCAGGACCCCCATTCCAAGTACATGTGGGACAGGGAACAGCACATGAGCATTCCAGGGAGGTCCTCTGGGTCATGCTTTCAACTCTGTGTGCAACTGGGCAGCAACACCACCAATGGATAAAGGACAAGAAAACTTTGAAGGAGCCCTCACCAGGCAGCTGACACTGTCCTAGATGCTTTCACATGTTCACTATAGTTCTCACTGAATACCTCCAAAGTAGATGTTCTCAGAGAAAACCTTTCTTCATCTAGTTTCTATTTTACAGATAAGAGATCTAACGTTCCAACAGGTAAAATGACTTGACAGAGGTCATGTAGCTGGTATGGGGTAAAACAGAAATTTGAACCCAGACTGTTTGGAACCAACAAAATAAACCATGGGGTTTTGACATTACACACTCCCTTATCACTAGCTGTGTGATCTGGGGCAAGTCACCACACCTCCCTGTCTTTAATTTCCTCACCTAGACAGCAGAGATAGTTGACACCTCATTAGGTTCCCATGGAGACCAAAATAAAGAACACACATAAAATGCTGAGCACCCTTCCTGGCATACAGCCCATTTTAGAGTCATTTTAAGTGACCATCACTAAGAAGGTGTCAAGTGCAGCCTCAGAGCTACAATCCAAGCAACCTCACTATCAGAATCCCTACAAATGGAAATTAGGAACCAAACAAATTGATGAATCCACTGCTTTCCAAACTCTCATCACTGCCATCTGAAACTCAGGAATAAAATAGATGTCAGAAACACATCCCTCACCACCCTAACTCAGGAGCAAACTATGTGAGCAGCAAGAGATACCTGTACATTATGTTTTGTTGTGAACTATACCCTATAGCAGTGGTTCTCAAACTTTTGTGTACATAAGTGTCAGCCCTGTGCTTTTTATGGAAATGCAGGTTCTTGGCCTCCACCTCCAGCTTCAAGTTCCCTACGTATGAGTGGGTCCAGGACTCTGAACTTCTAATAAACCCTCATGGTGATTCTGATGCATGTGGCCCAGAAATCACATTTTGAAAGCACAGCCCTCTTCCTTCTACTGTAGACTGCCTGCAGGAGTATTCACATGGTAGTGTGGAATATTCCAGAAATGTCATTGGTCAGCATGTCTTCTGCAATCCAGAGAGACGGTAACTGATGAGTCAATGTGAGGACTTTAACTCCATGTCTGCTCTACCCCCACATCATGGCAAAGGGAAACCACACATTGCAGCTGGATAGAAGTGGCTATGTTGGTCCCCCGCTCCGTCTGCACCAAGACCCTACTCACCAAGTTACCCCCTGAGAGTGGTATGTGCCTATGTTGGCTTTCCCTCAGATGGGACCTGCAAGTACCAGAAAACTGAATGTTCTAGGCTGCACAGGAGTTGCCCACCACCCAATAACTGATGAACTGTTGCCTAGATTAAATAGCATCCTCCATGAGTTAGTAATGAACATCCAGGACTCTTCCCCACCCCTGTGCCCACATCCAGCGAGTCACCAAATCTCCAGATGCCCCTTTCTTGGGAAGTGGAGACACTGACTGGGAGACTCTACCCATCCAGCACTTCCCATGTCCTAAATGCATCCAGACTACTCCAACCCCAGCACTTTGCAAGATGTCTTACACAGAGAGGTTTCTTAGTAAGACATGATGGATGGAGTAGTGTCAATTGAGTAAAATGGCATAACCAGTGACATCATGCCATAAGTGTACAATACTTCCCCAAAATATGTCCTTGGTACCTGAAAGTCCACAGGAATTGGGCCATAGGGAACACTGAGGTTTAAAGCTTGGATGTCTTCCCGCAGCCTGATGTCCATCCAAGGGTTATAGGCCACAGGAGGGAGGCCAGCAGGGACCTGGGGATCAGGAGCCAGGGTGATGTTCTCCAAGGGGTACAACTTCTGAAATTCCTTGGGAGAAAGCACACAAAGCCAACAGGTTGTCACTCTTTTGGCAAAGGTACAAGGCTTAGAGTCTATTGGCATTTATACTGCCTTTTCTCTAAGCCTGTGATGCATTTACATGGTGGCTCACTAACACTGCTGAAGTATTTCCCCCACCTTAAAGTCAGATATTAAGTCACTACCACAAGATGTCAGTGGTAGTGAAATAATGCAACTTGTTTTCTACAGAGTAGTGACACCTCTCTTCTCTCATACAAATCATGCCTTCTTGTTCCTATCTCAACCTAAAGTTATAGACAGATGTTGTCAGTCCCCAAACAACCCTCAGGTTTGTTAATTCACTGGGACTCAGCACATAGTCATACTCATGGCTATGACTGGTTACAGTAAAAGGAGACCAAACATATTCAACCAAGAGAAAAGCCACATGAATGAAGTCTGGGGAAAACCAGACATAAGCTTCCAGAGTCCTCTCCTAGTTAAGTCACACAGGATGTGCTTAAATTCCCCCAGCAATGAGTTGTGTGATAACATGCATGAAGTGCTGCTACTAGGGGAGCTCATTAAAGCCTTTGCACCCAAAGTTTTAACTGGGTTTGTTTTGTCTGCACATATAAAACTTCTAGACTCGAAGCAGGAAGGTAGGGTTTTGCATAAATGGTTTAGGTATAGTGAGCCACTCATCAGTACTGGGAATGGTAGGAGCACACCAGAGACCCAGGTTCCCAGCCAAGGGTCAAGCTCATAAACAGGATTTCCAAAAAAGAGCTTGTGCAACCTCTTTTTTTGCACAAGAAACAGAAGTGAGACTCACTCCATCAAGGGGCTGACAGCTCCTGCTAGGAAGGCGAGATCCCCTCAGCCAATCAAAGCAAGATACCAGCAGCATCAAAGAACATGCCTTCTGGTCTCAACTTTCATCAAAAGTAAGGGATATTCTTTTTCAAAGTCAAAAGAATGGGCTTCTCAAGCCCAGGAAAAACATGATAAGGAAAAACTGAAAAAAAGAGATTATAATCTCTTAACGATATACATGCAAGCATAGGATTTGAGTTTCCAACTAGAAATGCAGTGCCCTGTGTGTAAAGGGTCTGACCTGAGAGGCTCTATAGGAAAGTCAGTTACTGAAGAGGGATTCACATTCCCTGGAACTGTGTCCCAAGGACAATCCCCTATTGCAGGCTTTGGCAGCTCTGATTCACTTCTCTATGATGATTTCACCAACCAACCCAGCATTTACTCACTGAGTTCAAGGAAAGAAAATAAAATCTTCCAGTGAGGGAAATTAGAAAGCCAAGCATTTCTAATAAGATTCTTATATGTCCTAAGTCTGCTACTTAGCCTTGACCTCTGAATCCCATCTTCATACTGTTAAGTATACTAGTGTCATCAGGCATCTCTAATGACCAGCGACAGCAGGATGTGGTCACCCTAACTACACAAATACCTCCTTTAACAAACGACAAAGCTGTCATAGTTATATTGTATCAGCCCTCAGCCAGCTTTTCACCTTGGGGTATCTGAAGGGTATGTGTGGCTTGTGATACCCAACAGCCAGGAAGAAAGGACTGGCAGATGTTTTCATTTTTTCCAACAATTGTATGGCTTGCTTGGTGCTCTGTTTGTCAGGCAAGGTACCCTCGGGTATATCTGCCATATCCACAGGGCAAATCAGGTTGGCATGGAGTTCTCCATCTGGCCCCCTACATGTCTTTCAAAACAAAACATAAAAAGTCAGATTTTTAAATGCAAGAAATAGAAGTCATGAATGTTACACACACAATGTATTTAACATTCATACCAGCAGTCCATTAAGTATTAGTCATGCAGGACAGGCACATAACAAGTAAGAACTAAAACAGAGAAGTATTCTTATTTTCCAGGGAGGGGCCCGAAATCAACCAGCACTTACCTCCCTGCTATTAATCTTCTGTCTCTAGGTCATAATTAAGAGAAACCCAAGTAAACTAATAATGAAGAAATCTGTCTTCAACTCAACAATAAAAATAAGCCAATTAAAAAATGGGCAAAGGACTTCAATAGATAGATATCTCTCCAAAGAAAACATACAAATGGTCAATAAGCACACATAAATATGCTTAACATCTTTAGTCATCTGTTGGGAGCTGCCCTACCTGGTTTCAGGAGCTGTAACCCCCACCCCCCACCATGGCTAAGGCTGACTGAGCGACCTTCGGACCATAAGCCTCTAAGGAGACAAAGCTTATCTCCCTATCAGGAGTGCCACTTCTGCTCCTTTTTCCATAACTGGCCCCCAATGCTTGATCAGTTAGCCAATGACAGGTAAGATTCCCTAATCAGGGAATGATCTAAGACAGGCATGATCACATGGAGGCCCCAGGGAAGGACTTGGGGGGCTACAGCAAAAGGGAGTGATGGACCCTCACCCCTTGGCTTTGACAAAGCCTGAGTCCTCATTCTGCCTACGAGACATCTCCTAATTTCTTGGCTATCTTGCCTCCTCTGCCTGACTTAAGCCTGAAACAATGACAGAGGGCAGTGCAGCCCTGTGCTGGAAACGGCAGGTTCCCCAGGTAATCAGGACTGAGAAAGAATACATAAACTCCTGTGAAACCTGCTTTGCTAAGCATGCTCCTAATTAAATGATAAAGGCCTGAACAGGAAATGAGTTTGTTTCCCAAGGTTTTGTAGCCTTGTAGCTGATAGACCCTGACTCAGAATGAGCCCTAATAGTTCTTTGTATGCTATCTATCATTTGATTCTTTCTGCCTGACAATGATTAATAAGCTGTACCCGTATTCCTGCACAAATTAAACCCAATAAAAGCCTGTCTAGGCAAGGGTGCTCAGTGCTCTCCTCTTGAGAGAGTGGCCAAGTCGCTATGAGGCACCCTCCCCTTGAGAGGGTAGCCATGCTGTCCCTTTTCCTCGACAGGACTTGGCAGTCTGTGTGAATTTGTCTCATATCTCATCCATAACACCGCAGACACCATGGGCTGGTGTCTGCGACAGTGATCATGGAAACAGAAATCAAAACTGCAATAAAATAATTACTCATACCCACTAGGATGGCTATAATTTTTTAAATTTTTATTTATTTATTTATTTTTAAAAAGAGGAAGGGAGGGAGAAAGAGAAGAGGAGAAACATCAATGTGTGGTTGCGTCTTGCACACCTCCTACTGGGGAACTGGCCCACAACCGAGGCATGTGCCCTGACTGGGAATCGAACTGGTGACCCTTTGGTTTGCAGGCCAATGCTCAGTCCACTGAGCCACACCAATGAGGGTAGATGGCTATAATTTTTAAAAATGGAAAATAACAAATATTGCCAAGGATGTGGAAATATTGGAATCCTCATGCATTGTTGGTTGGAATGTAAAATGATGCAGCTGCTTTGAAAAACACTCTGGCAATTCTTTAAACAGTCACATATAGAGTTATTATATAACTCAGCAATTCTTCTCCTGGGTGTATACCAAAAAGTAAAATCCTAAGTCCACACAAACACTTGACCCAGCAATTCTTCCCAAGAGAATTGAAAACTTAAGTCCATAGAAAAATTTGTGCATGAATGTTATAGCAGCTTTATTCACAGCAGCCAAAAAGTGGAAACAACACAAATGCCCATTAACTGATGAATGGATAAATAAAATGTATTTGACTATACAATGGAATACTATTTGGCTATAAACAGTAATGAAGCTCTAATCCATGCTACAACATGGATGAACCTCAAAAACATTATGCTAAGTGAAAGAAGCCAGACACAAAAGGTCATATACTATATGATTCAATTTATACAAAATGTCCAGAATAGGAAAATCCAAAGAGAAAGAAAGTAGATCAGTTGTTACCACAGACTAGGGGTTGAGAGGAAATGGGGAGTGAATAATAATGGATACAAGGCCATTTTGGGGGTAATGAAAATGGTCTTAAATTGATTTTAGTAATAGTTGTACAACTCTGTGATTATAATAAAAATCATTGAATTATACACTCTAAAGGGTGATTTTTTTATGGTATATAAATTATATCTCAAAATTTTTAACAAAATAAAAAATCTGTCTTCAATTTCAAAGACAGATTAAGGCTTGTAAGTGACAGGGTCTCAGTCAACTAGATAAGGTGACAGTCCATGAAATTCCCAGATCTTCAACCACATCATGCACAGAATGGAATCTCCTGTCTCATTTCCCAAAGTGGCCATGGTGGCCAAAGGCCAAAGTCAGTTTTGACTATGATTTCTACCTCACAAAGACTCAGAGGCAATGACAGCTACTGCTCCATCTCAAAGAAGAGTGTCCTTCCACAGGCTGCCTTGTTCACCCTGCCCCAGGAATGGACAGCCCAGCACCTGACTCCCAGTACCTGCTCCCCTCTTTATGACCCACGGCATTCATGGGGGATTTTGTGCAGTCAGACCCACCACTTTGAGAACAAATATGAAAGGTGGGAAACAGTGATCTAGCATTTGAGAAGTCACTAGAAAATAGCAAGATGAGAATGGGGGGATTGAGATGGGGTCTTCTAATCTCATTCTGTTAATATTCAAGTTACAAGTCAAAGGTCAGAGCCCTTAGCTTTCACTGAATTTTGAAATAGAAAGTTGTCAAGAATTTATAATACTCCTCTGCACCACACCATCCCCCACAAATCTATAGCCTTCTCCACATAATAGCTCTAAAAACCTCCAAGGAGCATGTCATTTCTCATTCCTACAGCTGGTTTTCTGAATTTCTCAAATTATGGACTTAAGTTTCATTTATGCATTGGGGATGCCAAGATTAAGTTTAAGTTTCTTTGTATATCCCTTTTTTCCATAATGCTCTAAAACTGTAAAACCCCTATCAAAGCACCTGAACATAACCATTAGGCCTAACACAGACAGGCAGACAGATGGTATGCCTTTCTTTCAGCCTGGGTTGAGGTTCCTGGAGCACAGGTCTCTATTCTCATTTCCATGTCTCTGCATCTCCTACAACCCTTAGCACAGAGTCTTATCCAGAATGAGCACTAAGGAGCTATTAAATGAGTTTTAGGCACTTGAATATAAGGTTCTAGAATAAGACATGCCCACCAGGTTCTAAAACAAAGCTACCTTTCCCATTGGACCTAATGCCAAAGATCACAACACTTGTCTGCCAAGTCATGATCACAAACAAAACTCACACACCTCAATGGATAACTGGCTTGGAAGAAGGTATAGTATACATAATAGTTCAACTTAAATTACTAGACAGGGTAAAAGGGGTTCCTCTTCAGAACTGTATCCATTTCACTTCATTACCTTAGTATTTTCATACTTTTCAGAGGAGGGATGATAAGGTGGAACAGACCAGCTATATGGAGAATCATCACTATGGTTAGAAGATATTCCTTAAGGGGGAAAAGAAGAAAGTCATTAAATAAACTATGGACCATCTTTCAATGCCCTCCCCACCAAAAGTTAAAACTTTGTAAACAACTGGGGAAGAATCATCTCCCCTCTTTGGGCCTGTTATTTTATCTATAAAATCAAGAGCTTAGGCCATATGATAAGAAGCCCCATTAAAGTCAACTCTCTCTAGGTTTCTATTTTAGTATTAAGCATCTGACCTCCCACTCTTTTAAGCCCTGGCAGTTCATGCTAGGCTCTGAGGAAGAAACCTAAAATAGTAAGTGACTGAGATAAGCCAGCCTGTTAGAGCAACAGAGCCCTGCAGAGCCCTTGCTGGAGCCTTACACCTGCCCTATGAAGGAGATGGCAGAGGCATTGGCACCACCATGGGCCACTGGGGAGGGGGAGGGTCAGAGAAGGTTGGGGCCCTACCCAATGCCAACCAGATATTAGATGAATGAGCCTGGACTTCAATCCATGGCTTAGAACTCCAGGTTCGGTGCTCATTCATGAAGCATAAACCCACTTCTAAGCTCAGTACTTAACATCCTATTTGGGAAGACAAAATAACAAAGTGTGAAACCAAGGAAGGGCTGCTAGCTATGCAGAGAGTAGAAGTGCTGTGTTAAATGTGGGAGGCCCAAGGTACAGAGGTGATATGGGTTCAGTGATGGTTGGCAATGAGGGCTTCTAGGGGTCATCAAGGCTTGCAAGGGGTCTGAAGGGAAGTTCTACCTATGGGATAAGCCAGGAGGAGCAGAGAGTGTTGTACAGTCAGAACCAGGGGAGAAAGAGCATCTCCAGCAGTGACACATTGGGGGACAGTGGATGGAGGGCTCATCAGCACAATAAGCCCAGTGGATAGAGCACAGGCCACTGACAGACTTGGATTCAAATGCCTGCACTGCCCCTTAGTACTTGTGCAATTTTGGGCAAGACACTTGACCTCTGTGATCCTCAATTTCCTCCTCAGGAAATGATGACTATGATAAAAATCTACTTTGCATTGTGCTGAGAGGATTAAAGGAGGAGCCAGCACAATAAGTGGCACATACCTAACATTCAATCAATGGTAGCTGCTGTCATCCTGGACAGGTTCTTTCCTGACAGAACAAGGACCCAGTTGAAAAATGTGTTTCCACAAGGACTGCAGGCAAAGCTTTTGTTCTATGGCTAACATGCAGTGCTTACAGCCTGATCCCAAAATCTAACCATCCAATGGGAGGCCAAGCAACACCACTCAGGCATTGTCTGGCCTACCTTCTTGAAACATGATCTCCCTCCTGCTGGACTTCTTCCTCTCCCCAAAACTGTCTTTTTCTCCAGCTATACTGAGACAAGGGTTATTATAATATGAGTACTGACTACAGAAGGTTCTCTTAATGGTGGGCTTTTGGTTGCACAACATGATTCCTGACAGATTCACCTTCAAAAATGAGCCCAACTTAGTCCAACTATAAGTTACTTTCAACCTGGACTGGTCAGCTGGGTTCCAGAAGAAGTCTTCTGATCCTGCCAATGTAAGCAGTGAGCAAAAAGAAAGCTACTGAAAATGTTCAAGTAATAGCCCCTAATGATAAGCAATGTGGTCCATACAGAGCTTGGGTTTTCAATGTACTTTCACACTCTTGGACTACCAGCATTGGGGTGCTCCCCTGGAAGGTAATCAAGGCAGCTATGACTCCAGCTTCCCAGAGAAGGAATCTGAGACTCAGAGTGTAAATGATTTGCTCAAGGTCAACTACACAGTTAAGAAGTGGCAGAGCTGGGACTGGATGCTAGGGACCTAAATTCCTCGTGGCACTACCATCAACAGTTCACTCTGCCTCCAGAGATATTCATCCCAGCTGAATGCATGACAGCAAAAACCTGAAAACAACTTGGACTAAAGTACAGTACATGTATATGTTAGACTACTGTACTGTTATTTCAAAAAAACAAAAACAAAAACTTTGTATTAAGAGTAACCTAAGAGGAAAATTTTGTTAAAAAATCACAACACAAAATTTTATGTACAGAAATATCTCCAATTAGAAGAACAGTGTGCCCAGAAGAGGGTGGACATCGAATGCAGCTCCCAGCAGGGTTCTGTGATTACAAGTGATTTACATTTAGTTTACACTTTCCCTTTTTACCAACTTTTTGTCAAGTAATCATGCAATTCTTCTGTAAGTTAAAAACAAGTCTTAGAGTTAGTCTGTGCTTCAGCATTCTCATTTTGGCATTAAAGAAAGTCAGTTTTTCAGGGGGTGCTGAAGGTCAAAACTGGCAGACCCTGGCACCCTATAGGTCCTGGATACCAGCTTACATTGCTCTTACTGACCTAATTCACAGACCTTAAGCAGCAACCCCTTTCTTGGGAAAGAAAGCAACAACAGCTGGCCAAATGGGACATCCTCAGATGTTCTAACCCTTAAATTCCCAACTTTACTAACAGGGACCCTGGGGTACAGAGGCATAGAGCTAGAACCTCACCCAACACTGTCACATCCCCAACCAGTTCACTCCCTTCTACCCCATGAGCTGACAGAACCAAACAGTACCATGACTGATTCCTGAATGGAAGAAAAACTCCTTCTACCCCTTTTTACTTTGGGTGAGAACATGAAGCCAGGTTGAGAAGTTAAGATTTTGCAAAAAGTAAGCAGTGAATAATGAGGTGTCTACCCAGTCCCAAGAGGCCTCTCCAAAGACAGCCCCAGCCCCAGTACAGGATACCCTGTGGTTGGGCATGAAACAAAAAAATAACTCAGACTTTGGACAGTAAGCAGTACCAGGGTGAAAGACTTTTCCAACCGACATAGTCACGTAGCCATTCTCCTTGAAGTACTGGGGGATGGTGGAGAAGTTTCCAGCCTGTACTCTCCAGTAGGAGTTGAAGTCATATAGGCGCGTGGTGTCAGGTCTCCTCCCAGTAAGGAACGACACTCGGCTTGGGGCACACACTGCTTGCTGTTAGGGAGCAGAAGCAGAGGGAAACACTATCAGAGGAAAATAGTCTGGGAGCTAAATTGTAACCAGGGAACCTCCAGAGTCCTTAGCAAACAGCTTGGCTGAATCATGCAGATCTGAAAGCCAAGTAGTGGGATTTGGGTCTTACCCAGTCACCAAAAATGTCTCCCAGGAAAGAGGGAGGAAAAACTCAGCCCCTCAAACCAGCAGATTTTGTTCTCCTTCTACACAGTTGTGTCTCACAGGTGCACAGAGCGGGCAATGGTACTGGGTGTGGCCCCGTGAAGAGGTTCAGGAAGGAGTGCTGCCATAGCAAGCTGGCTGGCACTTGCTCAAGGATAGCTGGCAGGTCTGAGGGTGACATTCTGCCCCACCCCTTCCTGCTCAGCCCCAGGAAACCTACTCTTTGGTGAATGAAGCTGGTCAGGACCATCCTAAGGAGAGGACCCCTTGAAAACACAGTCTTCCTTGTCAGTGGACAACCAGGTTATATCAATGCGATTTTCCAGATGACGCTTCTCTCTGATAGAGATGCTGGGCACAATCTGTGCCATCTAACAACTGCTGAGGCAAGCCCCCCCACTCAGCGTACAAGACACACATCCACACCTAAAGGACCCCAGACATACCTGGGCAAAGGCATTCTGGAAGAGGAGACTGTGGGATGCCAGTTGGTCGATGTTTGGGGACTTTATGAGCTTGTCCCCGTAACAGCCCAGGGAGAGGCGCAGGTCATCCACAATGATTAGAAGGACATTCAAAGCATCTGCATGGGAGGGTGGGGCTTCAGTGAGATGACCTGCACTGACACTGAACCCTTCACTCATGGTGGGTGCTAGGGTATTGAAAGGGCCAAGGCTGTAACCCCCACCCTAGCAACCCAGCTAACCAAGCCAGAGATGGTGGGAGAGGGTAAAAAGAAGAAGCCCCAGTCTTAGGTAGCAGGGTGAGGCTTTGGCAATAGCCTCAGGCCTGGATGAGGGAGGGAAAGAGGAAGAGATCAAGGGAGAGAGAGGGTGGGAAGTATAGAGGAAAGGAAAAAAGGATTTAGGGAGGGAGGGAAATGTGAACAGAGGGAAGAAAAGACAGTGGATGGGATGGAAGAAGGGTGGGTGTAAGGATGAATAGATGGAGGGAAGGAAAAAGGAACACTATGAGGAAGAGAGCTAGGAAGGAAAGGATGGATGTAGTGAGGGAAGAATGGAAGGGAGCTGGGAGGGGAAAAGCGGGCCCTACAATCAGGGCAGGGAGGGGCATAGGCATAACCTTTGGTATTGTTGCCCCACACCGCTGACTCAAGAGAAGCGCAGGAGCCCAGGACCAGGCTTAGCCAGAGTAGGCCCCGGTCCAGCAGCGGCATTTCTGCCTCCGTGCAGCCGCTCCTGGGCGAGGGTGACAGGCCGCAGCGAAAGTGTAGAACCTCAGGCGCTGCTGCCGCTGACTCAGACTGTGGGGCACGGTCTCCAGACTCACAGGCCCGGGTGCCGCCAAAGTGCAACTGCGCCTGCGCGCTTCGTTCCCGCCCCACTTCTAGGAGGCGGGGCCTGGTGGCGAGAGTGAGGCTCTAGTGAGCTACGGATCCTCTTGGGAGACCTGCTGCAGGGAGTTTTTCCAGGTGTTTCCAAAGTTTTGAGATGCAACCACTGTTCTTAACCAGCAGTGTCCTGCCTCTTTGCCCTAGCTTGAGTTATGCTTCTCACCTGGATGCCCTTTATTTCTTCTTTCTATGAAAGTAACTTTTCCTTACAGACAACACCAAATGCCATTCGCCTTGAGTGAGGCCCTTTAAGAACCAGGCTTCCTGATCCCCTTTCCCATGCATTTGTTCAGCAAACACTAAGTACCACAGATATGAACATCAAACACTATAGGGGGCTTGAGAGTTCTAAGTCCCTGGCCTTGTGGAGTTTGCAGACAATAAATAACATAACAAAACAAAACAAAAACAGAATGTCAGTGGACATGAATGGTCTGGAAGGGAGTTGCTGCTTTTTGTGGAAGTGGTGGGTAAAAGGACACTTGAACAAAATCTCCAAGGAGGTGAGAAAACAAGCTATGTGGATGTCTGCAAGAAGGGTGATCTAGACAGAGGAAGCAACCATTGTCCTGATCATGTTTGACAGTGTTAGAGGACCAGAGCCCAGGTGTGGCTGGCTGGTGACATGAGATAGGAGGAGTGAAGGTAATAACTTCCTAACAGAAAACATTTACTGTCTGTCTGGGACTGAAGGCTGGGAAAGGACATCACAGTCCCACAGTCCCCATCCTCCTTCTGACTCACCCCAACTCCTCAGTGAAATAACCTAACACAGTTCCAAGTGGACTGGAGATCTTTTTTGCATGAAGAAATGCATAAATATTAGTATTGTTATCGAGTATCCTTATGACCCAGGCAACATACTAATTTTCTCCTCATAGCAATAATAGGAACTAGATGCTGCTATCATTCCCATTTTACAAACCCAGAAATTAAACTCCAAGAGGCTGAATCACTTGACCAAGGTCACACAACCAGGAAGCAGAGGAGCAAGGTGGCTGTCAATGAGAGGCATGCTTCCTCACATGATAGCCAGAACACGGTTATGGCCTGTGGCCTGCTGCCACTGCTGCTGCACTTGCTTTGCTATTTCTTCAGGATCCAGCATGGGTGATTGTTTACACTGGAGCCTGACTGGATTCCCCCTGGGGAGGGCCAGCTTCTGGCTGTTCTCCTGTCTCAAACTCCCAAAAAGAAGCTAGCCAAACAATGTACTGGTCCCTACGATGTCTTGTTGACAATGCACACTTCCCTAAAGCTGATGGGACTCAAGCCCTAGATCCACCACACACAGATAAAATAGGCACTGCCTGAGGAGGACTTGAATTCTGCTGCTGTTGTTGATGCTGAAAGGGAAAGTTGGACCTGCACTCCAGAAGGAAATTTGAAATTTTTCTTTAGGAAAACGACAGTGACTCCCAATGCAAACTAGCAATGTTCCTTTTATTTTATTTATGCATTTGCAAATCTAGGGACCTTTAATTGCCAGATCCTGAGTTAGAGTATGTTCTTTCCCACTGAGGAAAAAAAAAACAAACAAAAAACAAGAATTGAAAGTGAGTTATAGTTATTTCTGAACACGTAAAAGTGTATAGAAGGTTTGTAAAAGTTTCAGGTGTGTAGAAAATTGTAGAGGATATAGTATGTTGTGAAACTTTTAAACCTGAAAGAAAGAAAACCTCAGCTCTTAGGTGCAATTATACTTTGCTTGATTTTTTTCTTGCTTACTTTCTGATCTTATAGAGACTTTGTTCAAACTCTATTGTTCTGTGTGAATTGGGAATCCTCTGTCTCTACTGTTTGGCCATTGGCACCTAGTAGAGATCATCAGAGGCAAGCCTGTGGTGAGAGGTCATGTCTCTGCCAAGGGACCAGTGAATGCACTGGTAGGTGAGAGAGTGCCTCTATCATTGGGGCTTTGTACCATTGAATGCTGGTGGGCGTACCATCTGTGGATAAGAAGTCATGCCTCTGTCAGGAGACCAGTGGGCATACTGACAGGTGAGGGAATGCCTCTACCACTGGGGCTTTGGGCTATTTAGGACCTGAGAAAGGCTGTCTATGTGACCAGTTAGTGTGACCGGAGGTTATGAGACAAGGTTCTAAGACTGGTTCTAGTCCCCCCTTTTTTGGAACTCTATCTTTGCTTTGGACTTCGCTTTGGTTTCAGAAAGAATTTGAAGTTTCCCAGGGAGAGTTAAAACTTCACATCGAGTGGAACATAAACAGTGAAAGGTATAAGGCATGGAAATGCAATCTTGATGGATATTGGAAGACAAGGATTTTTTCTTCACACTTTGTATTTTTCTCCCTTCCTGAGTCCTCCAGAATTTGATATTCTGAAGATTGTATAAAGTTTCTTTGCATAAAACCAATTAAGACCAGTTTCCAATGGTGGTTTTGTTAGCCAAGACTTTGACTGGAATGTCATGCCTGAAGCATGAGGCATGAAGCAGGAGGCATGCCGGAATTCTAATTGTTACCAGAAGGCCTTGAGGAGCTGAGATTGACTCTCAAAGCTAACAAAAGCCCACTGGAAAAGTGGCCTGGTACTGAGGTTGGTCATGTGGTTCATTGCAGTATTTCCAGGGAAGGAACAAAGATTGCTTCCCTGAAATATGACAAGGAGGAACCTTAAGACCCTTTGGGAACCTCAAGGACTTGAGGAATATAGGTACTACAGGAAAATCTATATGGAAGTTGTGTGGCTTGGTCTCTGTGCCCTGAAGGGTTGATTAAAGCTCAGTCTAAAGGTTCCTTGCATGAGTTCCAGCAAAACAGATTCAAAGAGCCTATGTGATCAATTGTTACTCTTGTTGTGTTTTTGCATATGAGTGGGCAAAAATTAAAACTGCACTTAATGCAGTCCCTTTAGTGACAATGAGGGTGATCTTAAGGAGAAAAATCATGTTTCAAGGAAAATCACAATGCTCAGTGATAGACTTTAGACTCTAATATAGCTAACTGACTTCAAAGTTTTGTTTTCACTTAGAAGTTGAACTGGGTTTGTGACATCAGAGATGTTCAATTTATGAGCAGGAAGAATTTTGTCAGATTGTCACTATTTAATATCATTCCAGGAAAGGCCTTGCAACTGAATGTCTTCTCAAGAGGCAGCCTCATGAACCCAGAGGCCGATTTGTGGGTTGTTATGTTAATTAACCTGCATGTTCTTCCTGTTTTCATAAGGCATATACCTATGACCTCATTATGTAGGTGATTGTTTACACTGTATAAGCCTTATTTGAGAAGCCTATGTGCATTAACACCTCCTGAGACTCAACAGTTTGACTAGACTGAGTTGTTGAGTTGGTCAAGTATAGGGTGGTCTGTCAGCTTCACTTAAAACTGCTTTCCTTTTCTGCCCTAATGGTTTAGACAGAAAGGGCCTAGGAGTGTTAATGGGGGAATCCTAGATATTCTCCTCAGCCCAAGTATAGTGGGCAAAAAGGCTTCAGATATGTGTGACAGACTTAGCACACCTTCCTCCAAGGAAACCATTTTTAAAATGTGGGACATTGCAGAATTGAACCCTACATCTATCATTTAGTTGTTATGGTTCTGATTGTGCCTTCTAACACTCTTGCCAAATTTGTCACCTCAAGAATACACCAAGGATGCAACTTGTCCAGCAATGCTATCCTTTAGACATTGTGCACACCACTTCCTAGGGACAACCAACCGACCTGTACTTTGCAGGATCCTTTTACCTCATGTGCCTCCTTTGAGCTTGTAAACCAAAGACCTAATTATCTACTTATCCTTATCAAAAAAAGCCATTAAGAAAAAATAACTCAGCCCTGGCTTGTGTGGCTCAATGGATTGAGCACCAGACTCCAAATCAAATGGTCACTAGTTCGATTCCCAGTCAAGGCACATGCCTGGATTGTAGGCCTGGTCCCCATAGAGGGCACATGAGAGGCAACCACATGTTGATCTTTCTCTCCTACTCTTTCTCCCTCCCTTCCCCTCTCTCTAAAAATAAATAAATAAAATATTTCTAAAAAGAAAAAAGAATTCAGTATAACCCAGTGTTAACAAAAGTAGAGAATGAGGTAAAAGTCACACACAGTTCCTGTTTCAAAAAATGTCTGCGTTTTTTTGGTGTACTGAATACTATGCTATCCAGGCTCAGCAGCAGGGATGGGGGAATACATAAGGGATAAAGAGGCAGACTTGTCCATGCCTGCCACCCTCCTCCAGGAGAGCACAGTCTATGGGAAGAGGGGTGGGGGGCAGAAGCATAACGTGATCATTGTAACACAGGCAGACTTTTAATTTGTCAAAAAGAAGGGTTTCCAAAAAAGAAACAATTGATGTGAAGACAAATTCACCTGACCCAACACTGAGTAAAACCTGTCTGACATGTTGCTGAGGTGTTAGAGTCCACCAAGAAGGAGCAGCTGGAAAGCCTGTTCTGAAAAAGAGCCAGGCCTCTAATAACAGATATGATGGATGAAAGACCAGACATGCCATCTCATCTGTCTTTCTGGGAAAGTTTAAATTTGAATAAAGGTGAAAAACTAGTATTCATGACAGCTGTGGAAGACACACCCTAAGATGACCCCAAATGAGTCACATCCTTAAATAATTCCTTCTCTTTGGGTGTGGATGGAATATGTACTTCTAACCAATAGAATATAGTGAAGGTGAGACAGGATATCACAACTGTGACTACATTATGATGGAGATATAAGTCAATTTTGCTAGCGCACACTGGAGAGATTCTCTTGTTGATCTTTGAAAAACTATATTGTAACTGCTCATAGAGAGCCCCACATGGCAGGGGACTGTGGGTGGTCTTAAAGACCTGAGGGCAGCCTTTAGCCAAGACACAGTAAGAAGCCAAGAACTCGGTCGTATAATCACAAGGAAATGGATTCAGCCAACAACCATATGAGCTTGACAGAAGACTTCAAACTCCAGAAGGGAATGCAGCCTGGCCA